CCCTATGCCAGACAGTGAATTCAATCAATTGATGGTTACACAGGTTACCTTGTACCTGCAGATCCCCCACCAGGTCATCCCCTGTAGCTAGCACCAAGTTCAGTAAGGCATTTCCCCTAGTGGGAAGGTATACCTCCTGCATTAGGTAGAGGTCCTGTATGCAGGTTAAGAACCTATGTGAGCAGTTACATCTGGCTGACTGCTCCTCCCAGGAGATGTCAGGGTAGTTTAGGTCAACCATGACAACCGTGGCTCTTGATCATATAGCCTCTGAGAGCTGCCTTGAGAATTCCAGGTCTAGTTCATCCTCCTGGTGTGGCAGTCTGTAGTAGACCCCCACTACCAAGTCCCTTATCCCTTGACCCCCTTGTATTCTAACCCACAGTGCCTCAGTTTGCCCCTCTGATCCCATCTTGATTACAGAAGATGTGTATTTCTCCTTAACACAAAGAGCAACATCCCCCCTCCTTTTTCCCCACTCTATCACATCTGTATAACCTATAGCTCTCAATGCTTACTGCCCAATCGTGAATAGGGTCTGACTAGGTTAACCCAACAAAGTTCAAGTTATTGCTTGCAAGCACGAGTGCGAGTTCCTCCTGCTTGTTCCCCATGCTCCTAGCATTAGTGTAGAGATATTTAACACCCCCAATGCGTTCCCTTGGTACTCCCATATCCGGATGCCTATCAGGCCTCTTAGTACTTACCTGGGCTGATCCAGCGCATGGCTCATGGCTCACTGATCCTAGGTTCTTTGTCCTCTGCATCCCCATCCCCCAACGAACGCAGTTTAAAGGTTCAGTTGCCAGTCCTTCACTCACAAAGCTATCTGTACTCCAGTCACCCAGTGGATGAAGGGAAATCAGCTCATCCCTTTGGCTGATTAAACAACTGAATTACATTCCAGAAGGTACTGATACCATTGTACAGTACAAGACTCAGTGGTGGTGTGTGACTAGGGTCCCAATGTAGAGAAAGTCTCTCTCTTCCCCTCCACATATGGCCAGAAAATCTCTCTTTTAGAAGAATGCATGTTTCTCCTATTCTAAAAGGCTTCTGTTCCTCATCACATTATACATCTTTTTCCATATACTCCTTTTTATCTTTCAACTTGGCATTAGTGAAAGTGTATGTCAGTAACACATTCATTCAGTTTCCAAAAAATACAATGGTTATATGATGAGCTGTTCCAGATTGACATGAATCCATCTGACTCCAGCTGAGATTTGAACATTATTTTTTTCATCAGAAGCAGCAAAGATAGGATTGTAGTATTTGGGGGTGGGGACTTAGTCATGGTGGAATTTCTTTGGGGGAAAATAAAGGAAGCAACAGGTTTTCAGTGGTGAAATTGGCACTATCCTCATTTACAAGAGACCTAATGGAATCCCTGTATGAAAATCCATAAACTGATCTCATCACTTCTATCAGCAGAATGAAGAAAGCAAACAAGTGACATGTGGAACTATGTCAAGACATCTCAGGATTCCAGATCAGAGATTATGAGGAATTTCTGGGCAGCTCTCGTGTAAGAATTTCTTGATTGCTCTCTTATTTTATTTTTAAGAGAGATTTTTTTTTAATTTAATGCTGCAAAAAATAAAGGACCAACAACAAACTAGCTAGAGCCAAGGGCAGTATACACCCCAGAGTCTACCCAGGGACTGATAATTCTTATGTGTAGCAGTAGTGCTAATCTACTCCAGAGAGCCCATATAACACTGTTAACAGTTCTGACCTAAAAGATTTCCTGCTATTTCCATTCTGGACCAAGATCTTCCCTCAGGAGAAGCTAAGGACACCTATACATGTTACGGAGCTCTTCACGTCACAGGAGACTAATTAATTGGAAACTGATTAATTGAATCTGCTGTAAGTCTGCTGGAGCGTGCTAGTGTTATGTGTATTCATAGTTAGTAGGGTCGGAAGGGACCTGAGCAGATCATCAAGTCCAACGCCCTGCCATGGCAGGAAAGAGTACTGGGGTCAAACGACCCCAGCAAGGTATATGTCTAGCCTCCTCTTAAAGACCCCCAGGGTAGGAGCCAGCACCACTTCTCTTGGAAGTTGGTTCCAGATCTTAGCCGCCCTGACAGTGACGTAATGCCTCCCGATATCTAGTCTGAATCTACCCTCTGCCAGCTTGTGACTGTTATTTCTAGTCACTCCTGGTAGTGCTCAGGGAACAATGCCTGCTGGTCCCCTTCTGACTAGTTTGTAACAGGCCACTAAATCCCCCCTCAGCCTTCTCTTACGGAGGCTGAACAGGTTCAGGTCCCATAGCCTGTCCTCATAGGGCCTGCCCTGCTGCCCCCTGATCATGCGAGTGGCCTTCCTCTGGACCCTCTCCACGTTGTCCACATCCCTCTTGAAGTGCGTCGCCCAGAACTGGATGCAGCACTCCAGCTGCGGCCTTACCAGTGCTGCATAGAGGGAGAGTATGACCTCCCTGGCCATGCTTGAGATGCATCTGTGGATGCATGACAAGGTGCAGTTGGCCTTCCTGACTGCATCCCCACACTGCCTTCTCATATTCATCTTGGCATCAATGATGACTCCAAGATCCTTTTCTGCCTCTGCACTGACGAGAAGGGAGTTTCCCAGCCTGTAGGTATGGTGCTGGTTCATCCTACCCAGGTGCATCACCTTGCACGTCAATTTTGAATTCCATCCTATTCTTGTCCACCCACCCCTGTAACCTGTCTAGGTCCTTTAATTAGAGAGGCTCTCAGCGTCATGTGTATTCAGTGTCCCCATGTTTCAAAATCTCATCAAATGAGGTTTAGTAAAAGTGCCCCTGCTGCCATTTTGAAACACAGGACACTGAATACACATGACACTGAGAGCCGCTTTAATTAAAGCACCCCTGGCCCCCTCCACCCTGGAGCATGTGTATAGAAGATGCCCTAATATTCATCAAGGCAAATCATGAGGCAATTCTGTAATGTGCACAAGTAACCACTGGAGGTCAGACTAAGTCCAATTCATCTGCATATGTGATTTAAGACCTGAATGTAAATCTTAATACCATCTGGCATGCCTAAGGAAAACTGTCACAAAACTCAAAAACAAAGACTTCACTAATACTACTGATATTGAAACACATGATGTTTTGATTTGTGATCTTGATTTAAAACAATTCTATTCAGCTGTCAGAACTACGATGATTGGTATGGTAGTTTCATGATGTCCAGATGCAATCCTTGATGATGTTACCCTATAGTGTCCTCTGCTGGAACAATTAGTTAATAGCAGGATTCTTCAGCACACATGGGCATGTCTACACAAGACTTTACTGCGGAGTTTCCTAATTAGCTGGGCAGTAAACATCTCAGCATCTACACATGCAGTGGTATTAGGCCTCAAGAAACTAATTAACTCCACAGCAGGATAGTACTTGTAAACACAAATTTTTTTACTCCGCAGCAACACACATGTAGCTGTTGATGGGTCTGGCTGGGGCACAAGGGTACAGGGGCTGCCTACCAGCTAGCCCCCAAACTGAAGCACCCTTGTGTCCCAGCCAGCCCCTCTGCAGGCCATTGAGCTGGGTTGAAGCAGCCCCATGCTGGCAGGCTGACCTCCCAGACCTCCTACTAGCCAGAGCTACTCCAACCTGGCTCAATGTGCTGCAGTCCTGCACACACATTCAAACAGGGTGTGCAAGACCAGTAAACTCCTGTGCAATATAACCAGACTTTACTGCTGTGCATTAATAGCACATGTAAATGTGCTCATTAAGTATCAGATATAAATACCCTTCCTTGGCCTGTCAGCCCAACAGGAACATGTTCCAGTTTGTCTGTGAGTCCAACTGCTGAAAATGTTTTCATTAAGAAAAACACTCCATGTCATCAACAACAAAAAAAATCAGTATTGTAGATTAATGTGTTCCCTTTGCTCAAATAGCTTTGTATTTTATGTTTTGTTTTAAAACAGCACAAGGACTCCGTTTATTTACTGAATCCTATTTTGTATGTGTTTAAACAGGGTATCTGGGGCCCACTTTAAGTGGGCAGCTGAATACTTGTGTGGCCCCCAAATATCTCCCCTCAACAACTCTCTTACTTTCATTATAAACATGCATGAACAGAAACCGGAGTCCCTGGAATGACAGAGCTCTTAACATTAACCCACAATTTTTCTTCCTTGATTCTGCCAAATAGGTTGACAGAGTAAAAATGCTGCAGGGGAAGGATAGTAATTGCCTCCTAAAGCTTCCTTTATTCTTTGGATGGTTGCAGCATCCATAACTAGGATTGGGGTTTCATTGTGCTAAATCTTATAGAAAGGCAGGGCTCCTGGCCCAAAAGAGCTGATCTAATCTGAAACAAGACCTAAGCAAACACCGGGAGGGAAGGAGCAGAGTAACCATTACCCAACACCACCTCCCCCCCAGGCTACGGTTCCAGGACATCCTGCTTTACCCAAGAATAAAATGACACAGCAGAACTGTGCCATGCCATCCTCCCCTCGTCTTAAATACCTGACCGCAGCCCAGGTCCTAGTGCACTGCGGCACCCCAGCACCCGGAGGGCTAGTGGAGTCGCCAACGACCAGAGAAGGCAGAAGAGGAATGATCCTGCGCGTGCAGGGATGCCGGCGAGGGGACACCCTAGGGAAGCCGCCACGTCCCAGGGCGCGGAGCAGCGGGACAAGCGGTGCCAGGCGATGGCTGCTCCTGGGCAGCAGCGAGCGAAGGGGAGGCTGCAGCCCGCGCACCTCCACGAGCCGCCGGCCCATCTTGCGTCGCCCGCCCCCGGGGCAGCGGCTTCCACGTGTCACCGACACCCCAGCACCCACCGCGAGCCAGCCCTGGCGAGGGGGGATTTCACCCGGGCTCGCAGGTCCCCACAGCCGAAGGCTTTGCGCGGGACGGATCCGCCCAGCAAACCCCACCGCCGGGAAGGCAGGCAAGGTGGGGCCGCGCAAGCACCATGCCTGGACGGGCCCCCACCGGGGCCGAGCCCCGCTCCCCTCAACGCAGCGCCGGGACTCACCGGGGCCGCAGCATCGCCCGCGGGCAGCGCGGGGCAGCCTTTG